TATTTTAATCGTTGTCTTATATTCACTAAAGAAGACTATTGGGACACTTGTAGGTTTTTCGACTTTATTTGGCTAAAATTGCAAAAAATTCACCTTTTTGCCCAATTCTTGTCATATATCCTTATTGTCAAAGTTGATTTAAATAGGCCAATTTTCAATTTCTTAGGTATTGACTATCTCTACATAATGAAATAGGACTCAAAGTAAAAGTAACAGTTAAATTAAAACTTGAATTAATTAAAACTGTCAATAACATGAATCAGTTTCATCAGTCATTTATTCATAATTCTAAACAATGTGAACGATGCATTCTTTCGAAGATTTTCTACAAATTGAGTCATAATGGTTATTTGATACACGTAAACATTTAATGCTAATTCAAAACAACGAATTTGCTAGAGTGCTAGACTACCAACACGTTACTACAAGCAGAAAGGGGATCACAAAAAATTCCTATAAGTAACAACAATCTCACTATCAATTACATCTGAGACAAAATTTTTGAATCTAAAATTGAAAGGTTGGACACCGGTAAAATGGCGACCGGGAAAATGTGGTGGGTTTTGAGCAAGTTCGCCATATTTTTCCCGAACCATATTTTAACCGGTCGTTAATAAACCGGTCGTAATAATCCCGAGTAAGGTAGTCGTATTTACTAACTGTCACTTTTATAGACTTCATATGAGAACCAAATCACAGCAGATATTGATCATGCCGGTGTTAAAAGGTACATCACAGTGATAGTAGATATCGGAACTAAGCAATTTCACAAATACAATACGTATTTTATAGTGGTGGATAAAAATTGGAAACAGAAATCAGCTCCTAATGGAACTTTTGTGTCTTCAATTCTGTTTCAAACCAAAATCTCTGTATTATTCGACCTGTTCGGCTAAATTACACTTTGTGCTATTTTTCCACGCAACTGTTCGGTTAATTTAAAGTGGGTGTCTTTTGCAATATATTCAGAACTTTTTAATAAATTGTGTTACTCACAACAATCAACATCAAGCAAAATATTCGAATAATTTGCTAAATTTGAATACTCTCAAAATATAGGTTCTGCTAATTAGATACATGGACACCTAGGACCCACTTTGATAATCGATTTATAGGTATTTACTTGATCTTTTATAATTACTTTGTTGTTATATGTAAACTAGATAAGAGTCCTGTTAATAACGGTATTTACACTTTGACTTAGATAGTGTTACTTTTCGCATGTACACATTACATAAGTCACTGAATAATATAATAATGTTATCACGTGATTTATTTAACCTGCTGTACTATTCTTTAAATTTGTTTTTATTTAATTGACATTTTTATAGCTTTTGTTAACTGACATAAATGTCAATTACAATATTGCTATGACGTTTTGTAATTGTTGGACTCAAGTAGAGAGTTCAGTGTGATCAGCTTTTTTACAAAATGATCATCGTGTGGACTGACATACAATGCTTGATATAACATGGGGGTTAACAACCAAATTGCTATTAGCAAAACTTTCAGATATTGTATTTCTATTTGTTGGTTCAATTATCATCATACTTATGAATTTTTATGAACAGTTTGATGCGTCTATTACTCTTCGTTAAAACCAGATTTTTTCAAAATTTGAATGAAAGTAGCAAAATAGAATACACTCTATTAACGTAAATACTAACTGCTGTGAATTTTTCGGCTATTTTTTGGACGGTTTATAAATCTTTATTATATAGTATCATATAGATAAAATCTACGAAAAGCACTTACACTTTTGTACACTTTTTAACGCTACATTTTTGCCTCTTTGCTTCTATGTATGATGTAAAAAGTGTAGTTTCCGCAAGAAACCAAATGATGTAATTCCACGTCAGATTAAGAGCTAATTCTTTTAAAGCAACACGTTTTTAATGTGTTGATATCTCATCTAATTGCTATCTTGGGTAAGTCCGGGACAGTACCATTACCAGTGACATATCTGTAAAATCTACCTGAACCTTCCTTTAACCTTTTAGATCTACCACAGATCGTAAGCTTTCCCGGGAGAGGGTATTTGGTTTTACAAACTGTGAAGTCGTTCGGCTGTCTACAAATGGGATTCACAACAAGGGACGTGGAATATTGAGTCGACCTCACCATCGAGAGAGCAACTCTGTAGCTGCTTTCCTCGTAGAATTTTGCCAGCTTATCTTAGTCTTTATCATTTTTCTCGAAAATACTTCATGCGAACTTGTGACAGACTATTGTTTAAAATACCACTGACGAGGTGGATTCGTAACGTCTGGGTCTTTCCTCTAGATGAGGACAAGTAACGCTCAATGATCTGAATTGCCACTGGATTGCCACCGCCCTAAGATCAATATCTCAAGATCTGCTAAGTCTATCAAAGCCCTGAGCCCCAACAACTTGCCCTCTTCAATTCTCAGAGTTACCTCCCGTGTTTTGCATCATGACAATTCTACCAATTGGTGTAAATTTTGCGTTTCCAAAAATATTTATTTTAAATACGCACGAATTATTCTATAAACGTTCCTGCTTTTGCAAGAAAATAAATTCGTAATTTACTTCAGTAAGGAGTCGTAATGCACATATAATTCAGTAATGCTGTCAATAAATTAAAGTGGTTTGTTCGACGTTTGAATACGTGGCCAAGAGGAAGCTGATGTAGTGGCCCTTCGAGCGTGAATTTTGTATCCACAGAGGCCTATTTTCTAACTCCAATTAAGATAGTGTTAATTCGAAACTTCGTTTCCCCTCGGAAAATACAGCAAATTTTGTCACCAAAATTCATGGTGTTTATTAAATTGATCAGCTCTGATTCTATAACCCAAGCCGGGTAACATGTGATACCTGGAGGTCTGCTGTTGGTGATGCAGTTGCTCTACATTAGCATATTACTTGCTACAATCGGAGTAAACTATGCTCAGAAAGGTAAGTTTTATAAAATATAATCATTATTTTAAGTTGAAAACAGGTAAGTGTTTTTAATCGCGCGTTTCAGGTAGTAGTTTAACGTGCTATGAGGAATAAGAATTAAAAAGTGTTCGTCAGCAAAGTTTCAAGAGGATAACATCTTGAATAACTTTCAGTTTGGGAATGGACGACAGTAGAAAAAGGTAGGGATATTCCTTTCGTCCTGGTAGAACGACCCCTTGAAATAGAAAATGTACCCATGGAGGGCCTATCTAATGCAATAGGGAAAATCATCTTCAAAGACAAACACGGAGTCACTCTAACTTTCATGTATCTGATTCATGAGCTTCAGGGTTCACCATCGCCCGGCTCATACCAGATACAAAATTGTATGGCATCCACCGGGCCAACTGAACCATATGGGGGCCCAACGTTGCTAAACAACAGGATTAAAATCAGCAAGGTAACAGGAGGTGTGACTGTTGAGTTTAATGAAGTGATCATCATAGAGATGACCTCCGCCCCCGCGGGAGCCCCAGATGTAACCAAATGCAACGCTTTTCTGGGAGGAGATGTGCGGATCATAAAGTTTGCAAATGATGACACAGCCAGTGAATCTTCAGACAATATGGTTAAACTTAATATGCTTAATATATGGTTTCTGAAATAAGGCTAAGAGACATTTCTGAATTTTCGAAAAGATCAATTTGTTTAAAAATAAAATTCGCCGTTATTCTATTAAAATTTTAAATATTAAGTTTAACGTTTTAATAACTTTCAGTTTGGGAATGGACGACAGTAGAAAAAGGTAGAGATATTCCTTTCGTCCTGGCAGAACGACCCCTTGAAATAGAAAATCAGAGGCACATATTAGGTGCGATGGGTGCGGGATCGCACAATTTACCGTTTTCCCGCACATTTCCGCATAATTTATTGTTTTCCGCACACTTCCGCACATTTTGTAATTTTCTGCATATTTCCGCATAATCTAGCATTTTCCGCGTAATTTCGCATAATCTTGAAATTTTCGCGTTAAGATTTTCGAGTGTAAAAACCAAAATATTTTAAAAGTCGGGCCCTTTTAGGACCGTGACTCAGGCCCTTTTAGGACCGTGACTCAGGCCCTTTCGGGACCGTGACCCAGGCCCTTTTGAAACTCATACCTAGGCCACGTGACCCAGTTACCACGTGACCCAGGCCCTTTCGGGACCGTGACCCAGGCCCTTTCGGGACCCTGACCCAGGCCCTTTCGGGACCCTGACCCAGGCCCTTTTGGAACTCATACCTAGGCCACGTGACCAAGTTACCACGTGAACCAGGCCCTTTCGGGACCCTGACTCAGGCCCTTTCGGGACCGTGACCCAGGCCCTTTTGGAACCCATGCCTAGGCCACGTGACCCGGTTACCACGTGACCCAGGCCCTTTCGGGACCATGACCCAGGCCCTTTCGGGACCATGACCCAGGCCCTTTCGGGACCGTTACCCAGGCCCTTTCGGGACCGTTACCCAGGCCCTTTCGGGACCGTGACCCAGGTCGTTATGGAACCCTCGTCGTTACCGTACTTCGATCATACCTGCTGCCCTTTTTATCGGGTAATGAGCTCTATTCGTTGTAGCGTTGGCTTTATAGTGGGCTTAATGGATCTTGGATCAAATGGTTTACAAGTACTGACGATCAATGCCAACAAGCGTGTCACATATTTGCGATCACGCATGGGATCTGATCGACTCTATCAAGAGGCGTCTTCAAATAACTGTCTCCTGATCTCTACCACTACCAGATCAAGTCACTGTTCTCAGATAACTGAATCTCAATATAGGTTCAATCATGGACTTAGTAAAGAACTAAACCCTCAGTAACACATAAACAGACCTATTTTTGATAAGAGCGGCGGTTATACGTTTAGAATTTCCAAAGTCCTTCAGAAAATGCAAAAGAAAACCGCACAATTCCCGCACAAATTTCGAAAAAATCGTCGCACATTTGCCGCATAATTGGTAAAAATTTACCGCACCTTACCGCACATTTTACCTTTATAGTCGGATGCGGTACCGCATAATTTCGATTTTTTTACCGCACCTAATATGTGCCTCTGTAGAAAATGTACCCATGGAGGGCCTATCTAACGCAGCAGGAAAAATCATCTTCAAAGACAAAGACGGAGCCACTCTAGCTGACCTATTTATGATCTATAATGGTCCATCATCGCCCACTGTCTACCAGATACAGTATTGCATGTCATTCGCCGGGCCAACTGAACCATATGGGGACACACCGTTGCCAAAGAACAGGATTGTAATCAGCAAGGTAACAGGAGGTCTGACTGTTGAGTTTAACGAAGTGATCATCATAGAGATGACCTCCGCCCCCGCGGGAGCCCCAGATGTAACCAAATGCAACGCTTTTCTGGGAGGAGATGTGCGGATCATAGAGTTTCCAAATGATGACACAGCCAGTGAATCCTTCAGACAACACGGTGAGATCAATTTGTCTTGAAATTAAGTTTGCCATCGTTCGATTAAAATTGTTTTTGTCCTTTCTATTTTTACACACATATAACTTTTCTAACAGTTAGTGTTGTGGCTGCACAAAAACAAATGACGTTTAAAAAGAATGCCATCATAACTTACATTACCATAATAGCATCCTTAATCCCGGTTTGAATAGTTTTATCATCAGCAGATTGGCGAGCTGTGGAACATGAGAAAGAATACCTCTTTTCCTGGGCAGCAGCTCCATTAGAGATCCGAACATCCCAGCCAAACGGCCAAACATGGATCAAGTTCATGGACAAAGATAAGAACAGCCTCGGGAATATCCATTTTAGATACTATGCCGATATTGCTGAACCAGTATATTTCAAGCAAATATTTCCCTGTGATTTGGAATCTCAATTTAAGGAAAGTGGAAAGGCCTTGATTCCAACATCTCAGCATAAACGCTGGTCCTTTGAGAGGTTTCCAAGCAACCAAGGGATGGGCCTAAATGTGAAGTGCAACGACATTTTGATCTCCACTTATCGTGTGCCCGATGATTTCCCGATGATGAATGCAGTTCTATGTCCTGCCTTCTTCAATAGTGATGTCCATTTCATAGCATTCATCGAGGATAAAGGATTGCCGGACGGGGAAGAGGAATACTTTAAAGACAACGGTAAGACAGGGGAGAATTTTAACCCTATGTCATGTGGATTGTGGGGTGATCCGGAATCAGCGTTCAAAAATACATCAATTCAAGTTGGTTTCAATCGAGTGTAGAGTGATTTAGCACGCTCGAAGACAATGATTGTCGAAACATTAATTTTGACTGTCAAAGTCGACTGCTATTCGAGAAACATATCAAGATGTCATGTCCTTGAAGAATACACATTTTTAAAAATAATTCCCCTCAACTAAAAACCAATCATATCCAGGAAAGTGTAACACAGGCGAATACGTGGACTCTATGAACGGGGGCTGTACACCCTGCCGGGTAAGGACCTACAGTCTAGGAGGGGTAGATGCATCATGTGCCAGCTGTCCAGCCGGGAAAACAGTGCTGGAGGGAGAAGGAGGCTCAGAGAAAGACTGCACTTGGAGTAAGATTGATAACAGTAATCATTCACTGTCTTCTTATCAGTATCTCTAGACATTTTAAAATATACTAGTATTATAACCTGATTCTGGTGTATCGTATCCATTAAATAACCCATCATCTAATAACAAGGTCACAAATATAACAGCTATAAACCTCCCCTCAGAGCCGTGTAGTGGAGGGTACTACCTTGATGGTACCACTGGATGTCAGCTCTGTAGTAAAGGTAGCTACAGTGCAGGAGGCAGAGTGGCAGAGTGCACGGCTTGTCCCACCAACTACACAACAAATGGTATAGCGGTCAAGGTGGAGGATTGTCTACTTGATCCAGGTAAGGTGGTTGGAATTCGTGAGTATGGTAAAGGAGGAAATTCCAGTGAAAGGTGGTTGAAATGTGCTGATTTCACCATCTTGGTGGCTTTATACCAGGTACTAGTTTCTAGATCTCGGGAAGGGGGTTTGGAACAAATAATAAAGGTTTGACGAGGAACATAATCTGTATGTATATTGTATATACTATACAGACTATTTTCTTTCACTTCATTGACTTCAAGTCTTTGATGGTGTCACAATTTACAAACCAAACAGTCTAAATTAGTAGACGGTGTTTGCCGAGCAGCCTTAACTAAAGATATCAAATTTGTTGAAAACTGAGGATCCCATGAGAGGAGTTAGTGAGGAAGAGGTCCTGTCGACGGATGAACGGCTTCAGAGAAATCAGTACTGCTGTCGAGAAAGTTAAGAACCTTTACTAAATATTAAATCTTAACAATTAAAGTTATATGATATAATTTGTATTTCAATTTCAAGGTTTGCTTACATCTATGCACAGTATGAATTTTTACTGATTATAGTTACTTATCACAACTATATCTATCTGCAGGGGTCAGCACTCAGCACCTAAACATCCTCTGTTCTCATCTAAACACTACTACTAGTACATCTACAAATAATATCCAAAACCTTCATCACAGACTTCCAGGTACATAATTTAACCTGTAATTAACTGAAACAATTATAATAACACAATTTAACTTTATATTAATTAAAATAAACTCGTTGCAAGTTGAAATATGTAAGATGGACAATTCTTCCGCGATAACTTAGGTGGTAGGTAGATAGTAATGAAGCTTCTTTTCCTAAAAATCATTCGAAGATAACATTTCCAAAACAGGATTAATTAATTTAACTACTTACAACCTGCAGGCTGAAAGACAGTCATGAAAGGAAAGGATCGCACTAATATAAACAAAAGAGTTATTCTATGATCGTGCGGACCGGAGAGAGAAGTAATACAGAGTTCCTCGGAGCAGAACACTCGAATGATTCCGGTGCACTCTCCAAGTACGAGTAAGTACAAGAAGGATTTTCTAGTTTATTTACACGTTTTCAGGCCTTTATTCAAATTATTAGTATATTTGAGAATTGGTCCTTTGATGCAGTGTTCATTATTAGTCCATTTGACATATGAAATGTCTCTCAGAAACGGACTGAAGATAAAGCAAACTGAAGCACTAGCTGTTGAAACTGAAGAACTAGCCGTTGAAACTGAAGCACTACCCGTTGAAACTGAAGCACTAGCCGTTGAAACTGAAGAACTAGCCGTTGAAACTGAAGAACTAGCCGTTGAAACTGAAGAACTAGCCGTTGAAACTGAAGCACTACCCGTTGAAACTGAAGCACTAGCCGTTGAAACTGAAGAACTAGCCGTTGAAACTGAAGAACTAGCCGTTGAAACTGAAGCACTACCCGTTGAAACTGAAGCACTAGCCGTTGAAACTGAAGAACTAGCCGTTGAAACTGAAGAACTAGCCGTTGAAACTGAAGCACTAGCCGTTGAAACTGAAGCACTAGCCGTTGAAACTGAAGCACTAGCCGTTGAAACTGAAGAACTAGCCGTTGAAACTGAAGCACTAGCCGTTGAAACTGAAGCACTAGCCGTTGAAACTGAAGCACTAGCCGTTGAAACTGAAGAACTAGCCGTTGAAACTGAAGAACTAGCCGTTGAAACTGAAGCACTAGCCGTTGAAACTGAAGAACTAGCCGTTGAAACTGAAGAACTAGCCGTTGAAACTGAAGAACTAGCCGTTGAAACTGAAGCACTAGCCGTTGAAACTGAAGCACCAGCCGTTGAAACTGAAGATACTCATTTTGAGACAAAAGTAAAATTTTTGAGACTGAGACTGAGTGGATATTGGACTGATTTGAGAAGGACGGAAAGTCCTCCAGAAACTTAAGGACCAAGGTGAAATAAAGTAAATTACGAAACAGTTGGCTTAAATTATTTAGCATAATCTGTTTATATGATGTTTGATGCCTGCAACAAAAGCCATGCATCATGATTTCAAAAAACGTTTAGATCAGTGGTTTACTTTTTTAATTTCTTGATTTGCTAAATGTCAATTTTCGACGTGGATTAAATATATTCAATTGATCAGCAGTTATGTGAACAGCAGTTAATGATTACGATTGATAATTTTTTTTTGGTTAGTTTATAGTTGGGTACTTTGTAGCGTTTTTTTAAAGCTCAGCTCTACGAACTCCTGTTTAATTTAGTTATTCAAACCGGGAAACCGGATAAATGTACATATGGTTTACACGTCCCCAGAACCGTCATACCAAGATTTAGCAAGGTGTTATCCATGATACAGTAGACTTAGCCAGACCTCTGGAACTTTAGGTGCCTCATCATGTAGACGTATTAGTGAGATACCCTGGGCTGGGTTACCTAGGTGGGGTACCTTGGACATCCTGGGTAATTACCTGGACTAAACACACCATCTCCACATCTAATTCCACCAGGATTTAGGTCAAATATTGGCAGCAGTCTGCAGTTCATACCAATGTCTAGACATTGTCTAGAGTTATATCTAGCAGTAAGCAAGTAATGACTGTGAAATGAACATTACCCTTTGTAGGGAATTGGGAAATTGTGATACTGTATCATGTTTGCTAGACATAGTATCTGGAATTAGTATCGTTCCCTTGTTTGTCACATGATCGCTATTTTAGACAAAGGAGGAAAAGCTTTGGTAAGCTGGGCAGTGATGAGGGCAAGGAGTTGAGAGAGCAGCTGAAATATAGGAATAAGGAAGCACCATTAGTTACCGCTAGTTACCACTAGTTAACACTAGTTGCCACTAGTTACCACTAGTTACCACTAGTTACCACTAGTTACCACTAGTTACCACTAGTTAACACTAGTTGCTACTAGTACTAGTTACCACTGGTTACCACTAGTTACCACTAGTTACCACTAGTTACCACTAGTTACCACTAGTTACCACTAGTTACCACTAGTTAACACTAGTTCCCACTAGTTACCACTAGTTACCACTAGTTACCACTAGTTACCACTGGTTGGATACGACTAATGTTTATTGTTTACTGGCCTACTCTTACTTTAGCATGTCCATTTCAAGAGAATAAAGACCATAGCCTGAGCCCTGAGGTTGTCTAAGAGTCTCAGGAAGTGTTTCACCAGTGAACAATGGCAAACAAGGGTTCGTTAATTTTACATCTTACGAGTTATGACACCAGAAATAGTATAGTAATATAGTAATAGTAACCACTAGTTGCCACTAGTTGCCACTAGTTACCACTAGTTACCACTAACACCAGCAATAGGGACACAAACTCTGACATTTAACCAACCTGCTGAGTGTTTAGTGGGACGACACTTTACAGGAGATCCTGATATCTTCATGAAATCAAACTTGTTGCTGACATCTTTCAGCGGTGTTCCTGGGGGCTGATTGGCTGTGAGGGTACCACGTGACCCAAATACTCCACTCTGATTGGCTGGTGAGTTGAAAAGGAGGCTGAGATTGGCTGGAGACTCGCCAGCTCTGCTTGTTGGTTTCGAGTCCTCGTCCTCGGAGAACATGGCCTGGGTATTGAAGATATTATCACATAGTACATACATACTGTCTCTCACGAATATGTCATAATAAGAGAGTATTACAGATTCTTTGAAACAAACACACTAGTAAATATCATAAGTTTATATTATATTTATATTTATATTTATTTATAAAGTAATGTAAGAAATTAAAGTAAGTAAGATATCACGATAAAAAGAGCTGACTGGCGGCTTATGATCATAACTAACCGAGCTTGGTGCTAGAGGAGAAGATTCTCTCTTTTTTGGAGATCTTCTCACTTTGATGACAGGTTTCGGCGTATTTTTTCTGAACGGAGCTAAATTTTAAACTTTAACAGTAGCGGGTCAAATAAAAACAGTTGGACCGTACCGTCGAATGTGATTCAAACTCAACAATCAACATTCAATATTAATGATTGATTTCCTGACCAAGCCTAATAAATTAACTTCTGAACTCTTAGTTATAATATCAATATTATTCAATACATAATAATAATGTAGTGGTGTGACTGGTAGATAAGGGGATATATAAACTTTACTTACCGCTGTGAAACAGTAACAACAGTGGTCTTTGTAGTGAAAACTAGCAGCACAGATAAGGCAAGTAAACAGTATCTCAGAACTTTGTAATACAAATGGTATACTCCTGGGGGAGTGGGGGTGGTCAAAATTAGGGTAGAAATTGAAAGTTACGGGAAAATGTTGAGTAAAACCAGCAATTTTCCTGGTTTAGTTTGTCAATAGTTTATCACAAATATCGAGGCCCAACTCGTTGTACAAATTTAAAATTTCAGGAAAAATTGCGAGAAATGAGTTAAATCCTGGGCATTCCAACCTGGAGCAAGATAAGAGAACTTGTAGACAGTATAAGAGAGTAAGCTTAGGACTATGCTATGTAAGTGGTGCTGTCTCAACACTACCGTAGTTATCTGAAATTATAGCTTCGTGATGTATGTGGCTTAGGGTTACTGGAAAGGAGATAAGCGCCTCAGGCCATCCCAACGTTCGGGATAGACCCGCCCTTGTATTTTTGTATTGTTGATGTATGAATTTGATTCAAAATAGTATCAAGCGAGTCCATCGAACTTATTTGGGAAATGAGGATCCAGCGCCAAACGGCCAAGAAATTGCAAATGTTTGTTATCCAAGAGTTTAACTGAGATTCTTTTAAAAATTAAATATGAATAACTAATTTTTGTATTTTAACAAAATTGCTAAAAATCCTAACCTGAATGACTAAAACGATAGTGTATATCGTTCCATCAATATCAGCCGGATACAGCTCCTCGCTTATTTCTAGGAACGAGTAAACACTTGTATTATTCAGTGTGGTTGCTATGATGTCATAGCTCTTGTTGATGACGTCACGTGATAGTTTGGTAACTTCGCTGACGAAGGAACTGGAGTGACTTTGTATCGCTGTCGCTGATAACGTCAAATTAACTGAAATGTGAAGTTTAGTTCTACGATTCATGTCAACAGGGTGGTCAGAAAACGGCGAAAATCGTTCAAAAGTAAATCAGGTTATTTTAGTTCAAAGTGTTAGCTGTTAATAGCAGCCTCTCAAAGCTTACCGATAAAGGTCTGGTAAAAGATACAGATGAGAATCAGTACAGTGGTCAATATCAGGGTAAACGCTATCAGGGCCAGCGTGCAGGCTTTAGACTGAAACAATGATATTGTGAGTATCAGTGTGAAAATCATGGCCACAGTACTCAAGATAATTTAGGAAACGTCATCAAAAGTTTGATTTCTAAATTGTAAACTTCAAAAAAGTGGTCGAATAATCGCTCCTAATTCACAAAAACGACACTAAGATTTAAGCACACACAACACGACTAATATCCTCGCACTAATATACCGTTACAATAATGACTCTAATATATCAAGCCACCACGTAGTCTACCAGTCTACCTGTCGTGATTTGGAGGACATTCCCTCACTCTCCTCACTCCCTGCCGGTGTCACGTGACATACCGGATACTAGCACGGAACATCTGATACAGAGCGGGCTTTGTTGGTACAGGTACGCTTCAAACTCCTGGTGGTGCGGCGGTGTTATGAACACATTCCTGGCCTAACGTTTATAAATAAATAGCTGAGTAAATTATAATTACTACACTAATTATGAAATACTGAATATCGTATTCGTGCTTTGTCTCCTCAAATTCAAATTTTCTATTATAACATATTACATTTTGAGTTATTGCCCCCCAATAACTCAAAACCCGGCCCCCTCGTTAACTCACCACAGTCTCAGCGTCAGTACTAACTGTCCCCCCACATCTAGCACGCAACTTAGCGTCCACCACCGCTTTTCGTTGTGAACACTTGTAACAGAGGGTAGCCATGGCAACCAACACGATCCTTCACCGCTTAATTGTCACATCTATTGGGAGTGTATTGTTTAATCTCAGGATATGTTAACGAATATTATCTTTTTCTTTAAAGTCATTGAATTATTTTGTAGTAGGGAAAATGAATGTTAAATAGTTTAAGTATGTTGGGTCGTCAGTCAGTCGGTCAGTTTGTATATTTGAAAAATAAACACAGAAATTGAAAAACAGATTTAAATAATATAATACAAATAATAATCGTCTGGCATGTTCATACCTGCTATCCTAAAGTTGTAAGAGACCTAGTACTGCCAGAACAATTTTTCTGATCAAATTTTGTACCAATTACCTATCATGGCGTTTCACTATTTAACTTAATTTCAATATTAAAACCTATAAAATTATGTTACGCTTCCCTCAAAAAGTCATCAACTGGAATTGACTAAAATGTAACATTTAAAATTATCATGATTCAAATTACGTTTATACCCCCTATAGCATTGACTTTAAGTTATATTCTACAGCATAACACTCATGTTATTCAAAAGCCAAAGATTAATTTGAGTAAACAAAGAACAAAAACTCAAAAAAGCAGCTTTCTTTGTTTGAGCGGAACAAATATCAGGAAACAGCGTTCCGTCGCGAAAAATCTGAATCTTCTGTAAATTTTATCTTAACCCTTTTAATTATCTTTACAATTGCAAATTACGAGTTAAGAAGGCCGAATAAACTATTTAGAATAATTTATAGATCAACAAATAATATGCTAATACATGGATTTTAGTTATTTATTCCAGTTTTTTAACTAAACTTTATGTCGCTTCCCAAGGGGTTCGATAAATTAACCTCCCTTGAAAACTGATAAAATGAATGTATACAATAGCTGATAGTAGATTCCCTTACTTTAGAGGCTCTGTTGGACACAGACGATTTGAATTTAGTGCAAAAATTGAACAAATGAGCCCGAAAAGATAGTTACATATTATGTAGATAGTTTTTGCAGCAAGGCTTCGATATAAAGCAACCAAGAAAGGACGTACCGTGTAATGCTTCCAATTCTAAAATAGATCAAGAAATGTCATTTCTAAGTGAGGGAATAAACTAAAAATATAATCTTGGATTAAAGCACACATCCTGTGATCATGTCTCATATTTTTGAATAATCAACTTATAAATATAATACTTTAAAACATATTATCCCAACATTAAATCAGCACTGATAATATAGCTCAATGGCCACTGAGAGGAAACAACGGCCTGGTGCTACGAAAGTAACTACAACCGACTGTATCCTAGCCTTTCTCAGTCTGTAACACGAGGGATCATCGCCATTTTCTACTTTGTGGTATTTATCGTATAAATAGCGAAAGATACCGAAACAAATGTTCTATAAAATGTAAACTCAATGACATTATCCTTCTCAAAGGGTATATAAATCTGAAATCTCGTGGAGAAATGGCGACTGACGATGATCCCCCAAACATCCAACTTCATCCTGGACCAATCCATCAACTCCACAACCTGACCTAACAACAACAACCTGATCAGTCTACAGAACAGTACCGAGCACACCATCACCACACAAACGAGTGTGCTGCTACCGCACGAGCAAGTGTTACCGCGCGCGTGTTACCGCGTGTTACCGCGCGCGTGTTACCACGTGTAACCGCGCACGTGTTACTGCGTGTTACCGCGCGCCAGCTCCTCTGCTCCCGCTATGATCCCTCAGTGGAGCCGTTACTGGGGGCTTCTTCCGGGGGATTGTACTCTGGGTACTCGCGTGAGTACTCAAACTCGTTCTCCTCTGCGCACATGTGCCCCGACAGGTACTTCATCATTCCTGCAGGTATGATTCGTAGTCACAATGATTCTTGTTTGTGATTGGTTGTACAAACTTATTAGTTAATCATTGCGTGATTAAAGATCTGAGTAATTTTAATCTCTTATAGTGGGGGGGGGGTAAGGCTGAATATGTGTGTGTGTATATACCAGTACGACAGTACAATGTACAATCAGATTATTGGTATATACAATGTACAATGTACCATGTACATACCAATAATCTGATTCTACTGATTCTTGTTTTTATCACTACTACTGCTACTACTACTACTACTATGTCGGAACTAAGTCCGATCTACGCCAGATAACCCCCTCCATATATCCCTGTCCAGCAACAGGGTTCGCAGGCCCTCTTTAGAGTTTGTCCCAACTTTCTTCAGTAACATAGACAAGTAGCTTTGTCTTGGTCAGCCTTTCTGTGCTCTACCATGCTCATCGGTTCCCATAAGACTAAATCAGACTGGCAAGTAGCTCAGGATGTCTGATGCAGTTTCCCGCCATTTTTAATCTCCTGCTTCGTAACTTGTTTGACAGCCTTGGTAGGCTACCATACAAAGTTATATTGCTGACCTTGTCCTTCCATGAGATACCATCCACAGTATCTTTGTGTATGTCCTGTCCAATCTTTTATCTTGAGCCTTTGTCAGTGTCCAGGTTTCTGATCCGTAGAGCAGTAGTGACAGTACTGACTCACAAGCCGCTATCGGCTATGAACAATCTAATCTTAAGGCTCTTTGAGAGTTTGGATTTCCAGATATCCTTCAGTCTATGTAGGGCACCCCATGCTTTTCCCTTTCAAACCCTTATCTCCCTACTTGTGCTCTCAATCCAGGAGCCTAAGTAGATGATATCATCCTCATTTCCTATGCTTTCCCAGATGGACTTTGGAGGTCGCTAGATCGATCCTCCATATTTAATGTCATAACCTTGGTCTTGCCTTCGTTTATGTGTAGCCCCAGGCCCACGCTCGCCGCCGATTCTACTCGGTGCATTTAAAACATGTGCATTTAAAACTCACCGAAAGTCTGAATTCTTTTAGTTTTAAAGATAGGCATCATATCCTCCTCTACCAACATAAACTTCTTATTCTTGGGGTCTTGTAAACCTCGAGCTTTTATCAATGCCCACATCTCTTTAACCACCGTATGTCTGAAACATTGAACGTACATTTACAGTTTATCTAATTGCTGATTACTCATTGCACGGTGAGGAGAGGTTAACATATTTTTTTAAAATAAAAAGGCTTATAGAGGTTAATACTCAGTAATTACTTAATGTAAGTACTTAATGTAAGTACTTATTGTAAGTACTTAATGTAAGTACTTAATGTAAGTACTTAATGTAAGTACTTAGTAAGTCAAAGTTTGAAGTACCTTGACATATAGTTATATCCAATAACATCTGATAGAGTGGGACTCAGCCACAACTTCTTGCTATACATCGAATCTGCAAAAAAATACAATTTAAAAAGATACTGCAGATTGGTCACGTTTTTATCATTTTGCTGACTGTCAATAAAGCATTGTAATCTAATGTTTTAATGTCTGACCATAGGAGTTCAATTACGTAAACAAATGAGAAAACTGCCCAAAACATAATAGGATAAAAATGACAGATTGAACAGTAGGTACCCACTTTTTGATCGGGACTTATCCTTGGCGGTTTTCTCCTTCTCAATCTTGAAGATGTGTTTTTTACAGTGATTTGTCAGTGTGGAAACCCTAATTCTGTCTTGACCGAAAACTGCTTTGAAGTCTTCGTCACAGACGATATACATTCTGTCGTAACCCTCGTGCAATTGCCGTGACAGAGCTTCCTGAATGAGGAAGTATGTTTTATAACAATAAAAGTATGTTTTATAATTGTTAGCAATGGTTGAAGCAGGGGCAGGACGCTCGCCAGTCGCCAACCCAACAAAACTGTCAAAGTCCCACTTCCCACAACAATTTCTTGAAAATAGTATCCCTAGCTTCACACCAGGAATAACACCCCGGTATACGGTAGAGAAATGGGGCGAGAGTATTTCACTACGGAGTTCAAGAGATGCTCCCAGATACTGCTCTTCTAACCTGATGAAGTCGGAGACTTATTTCTGACATAGGTAAAACTTCTGCTCCAATAATCTTTGCCAATTCGGGTGACACCCTCACATCTGTTTTTGAACCTGAAATATTTTTGTTATGACTGATTTTTTGTTGATGGCAGTCTATCACTTACGAGACAATAAAACTTTAAATATAAAACTTTAAATATAAAACTTTAAACAAGTTTTTCTGAAGGCCAAATCCCTGGATGAATTTCAGTACATAATTTGAAGCACACAAAGTTTTGGAAGTTACAGTTAAGCTTGATGTTGATTCAGTTTTAATTTAGAAAGGAGACTGAGAGATGCCATGTGATGTGCTGTGTTTTACGGTCGTCTGAGAGTACAGTGACTGCGGACAATCTTAATATGACAGTGCGTGCGCGGACTAAAATAAATCACCGAAAATGTCACCGCGCTTTCCATTGTTACACCGCAAGATTTGGCGTACGCCACCAGTTTGACTCAGACGGGCATTGGTAGTTTACAAGAACCCGTACCGAGAAGCGGACATCCAGAAAGATACAGCTGCTGTGTCAAACTCCGGTTGAAATTCATACAGTGATTTGATCGTACCATAGCTGTGGCAGAAAGATGTTTCACGACTCTTAAGACACGGACATGGGAGTATCTCCCTTTCTCCCATTGTAAGCTCCCAACCAACGCTAAGGCCTTATTCCCTCCAAAAAGAAGGATCACATGATTAAGCCAATGTTACACCATGATATATTGGTTCCTAACTGTACAGCAGTGGTCGGATAGGAAGAAGTAAGAACGGTGTATAGAAATTATATAATTAAATCGCTGTTCTGACCTGCTCTACTCTTAATTCTGGGAAATTACAAATGGGATAGACTAAACATATTGAGCTCAAAAACAATAATAGCCTATAATGTATAATTAGCTCTTCTTAGCTTTTCTTTAGATTGTGGTTAATATCTCTATATTATATTAACTTGCTGAGTTAATGTTACATTTAAATTACCTCGGTTGTTGATCTTTTTACATGCACGATTTGACGTTTGTGCAAAACTCGAAACATCTGAAATAAAATGAGCATGTTCATTATCTGAGAAAAATTTACTTCAAAATGCAAAAGACTCGCTCCTAGCTGGACTTGAACCAGCAACCTTTCGATTAACAGTCGAACGCGCTAACCGATTGCGCCATAGAAGCTTGAAAACAGCAAAATCTTGAATAATATATCCTGAGTTATCTTGGTGATGAGTACGGTAGTTACAAATTCTACTCACCATTCGAATTTGCTGTTTTGCCACCTGGATGGATATATCAAGATTATATCAAGCAGATTTCTTGATGTGAAACTAATTAGCTAAGATATGAAACAAGAGCAACCTGAACAACTGTGTTTTGTCAGTCGGCACCTATATATTATATAATTATGGTTTTACAGATGTTTTACATAATGTTTATCAATCCAGCTGCAGTCTGGTAGTGTTGAGTATCACGAATATTTCTCTAGCTTTTATATTACATGTTTTTTGCCTCATAGTAGTTATTTTGATTTTGTGTAAAACATGTAACTGTAATCATTGATGTAAAATTTAATTGGTATGAATTTTGAAATTTAAAAAATGTGAGAATTTGATCAGTCGATACCGTAACATAACCTAATCTAACGCAGATACAGCAAGAAGTACGATCTGAAAAAACTCACGTTTTTTGGCGGGGGTCTTGGAGACCGGTCTTTTGGGGGCAGTAGTTTCGAGTTCAGTATCCGAGCCTGATGACACTGAATCATCTGAAATGTTGCTTGTGATATTTTCTGGCCACAAAATGGTCCGATATCGACGGCCCTTTCAAGGCAAAATACTGGAAACTATATTTATAATTAATAATAAATTCAACATGGAATTGATACGATCTCATTAAAGAAAGTGCTCGAAAAAAGTAGAAATTACCGTCAGAACTTTGTGTCTGTTTGGTTTTCTTGTGATTCTTTTCTGAAATTAAAGGTTTGTAAAGTTGCACTTAATGAGTAACAGTTAACCGTATGATCATTTACCGAGGCCATACATAACAAGACTTTTAAATGGTTTTTCATATCTCTTCCGAGTTTTTTTGTGATTCCTTAACGCATTAAATTTAAATCTGTATTAAATTATTTGACAGTTAAAGTTTTATTTATCTTGCCTAATTTAATAAGATGAACAAATTTCAATTATATCAATTATATCAATTATATCAATTATATCAATTATATCAATTATATCAATTATATCAATTATATCAATTATATCAATTATATCAATTATATCAATTATATCAATTATATCAATTATATCAATTATATCAATTATATCAATTATATCAATTATATCAATTATATCAATTATATCAATTATATCAATTATATCAATTATATCAATTATATCAATTATATCAATTATATCAATTATATCAATTATTTCAATTATATAAGTTATTTCAGCCGTATTAGCTTTTTCAACGAAGATCACGAACGATTTAAGTTATTACGGCTGTAAGGAGAGTACGTTAAATTAGAGTTGCAAAAATAATGGCACTGTAAAACATATAATCGTGATCCTTAAAGTTAAAACGTTTGCCCGAGATATAAATGATCACATGACAATTTGCGCTATTTTGGAAGATACAATTAAGATCCCTTATTCAGTTATTCACTGATAGCTAATAGCTATATCCCGAACTAAACTGAGGGCCCTTCAGGGTTTTGTACAGGCAAGCCTCCCTATACAGCTGTATACCTCTCTATTATACTGGGTGCCTCTCTATAACCTTTAGCTAATTAGCCTGTTTTGAGCAAAAACATGCACAGAGAGGTTGCACTGTAGATAGTTGCCATGGTCACGTGCATGACACGTGTAACGAACGTCTAGAACACGTGTATGGGGCAGTATCGAGATAGCCCGACCACTGGTCCGCGGACCACTGGTCCGCGGACCACTGTCTGCGGACCACTGTCTGCGGACCACTGTCTGCGGACCACTGTCCGCGGACCACTGTCTACCAGATCATATTACTGTATAATAACAGTATTCGAGGACGAGCAGGGAACCAGGGACATAGATGCATTACACCCAGGACAGGACATGGAGCTCTTTAGGAGGTTTTTCTGGAATAGGAAGTCTCTAGCATTCTCTAGGGAGGCGGTGGGTCCATTAATTTCGTCCATTAGACAGAAGAGTACCATGTCAGGAATTGGAATAGTTGTTGTTGTTGATGATGGCAACTGATAATACTTCACCAAAAACGAACGACTTATATACCACATTTTAATCGTAATCATTTATTTCATTGAGCAATCAATATTATTCGTAACTAATTATATCCGAGAGACCACATTTGAATCGTAATCAATAGTTTGATCCAGTAATTTACTACGCTACAATTAATTATGCTAGTCGTAACTAATTGCATCCAAGATACCATACATACCATTCATATGATCTGGCAACCAATCAACTATTCACAAACACCTGTTGCTTGATTCAGGGGATACTGTTATTATACAGTAATATGATCTGGTAGACAGTGGTCCGCAGACAGTGGTCCGCAGACAGTGGTCCGCGGACCAGTGGTCGGGCTATCTCGATACTGCCGTGTATGGTCGTGGTTTTGATGTTCACTAAAATATGTGTGCCCTTTTGCCCTTTTAAGCGTGTGCATGCTTTCAAAAATGTAATTAAAAGTTGTGTACTGCTATTTAGTAACATTATCTAATTACCATCATTATTTAAACATTTTCATTGCTGGGTATATTCAAAATACACTCAAATCGATCGTAATCTGATCTTCCCTTAGAGCCTTAGAATAATGACATGAAATTGATATCTTTATCTACTTGGGATAACGTTTTCACGAAATGTATACAGTCTATATATATATACAAATCAAGATTAGCTGTTCACAAATTTAGTACACTAATCAATATCAATGATACTTACCTTAATTAATTACAACCCTAACCAGCGGCAAGTTATACTTACAATCTGACCATTAAATGTACGAAGAGGATTATTTTAATATTGCATTGCTTCACTTGCTTATCATTTTAGTGCTCACTTTAAAGCTTTAAAAATTAAAATCTGCCATTTAAGGTGTATAAAATATCACGTCATAACTGTACACACCTTGGTACGTTTTCAACGAATATCATGAGCCAACCTGTATTATCATGCAATAGCCTATTAATAATTCCTTATCAGTTGTTTCTAAGTAAGCGCATGTACTTACTGTTCAACTAATTGATGGTACATTTAAACCCCGATTTACAGGGCCTGAATTTAAAGAAAGTTTCACAGATCCCCAAAAGTGTATATTTCAGGAGTAAAGAATTTCCACAACTTTGGAACGGTGAGCCTACTTTTATCCCCACCAGAATACTTACTCCCTATTTGATCTATAGGTAAAATGGTTGCAGAGAAAGAAATACACTGTTCGTAATAAAAATTTCACAAATTTCACAAATTTCACATATTATTATTACCTGGTTGAGGAGATGGGGCACGCTTGTTAATTTCTGGTTCTTTCTCTTCCTCACTGCCCGATTCTAGAGGGAAATTGATATGTTATTCCTTAGCTTCAACACTCATGGCAGCGTTTATCTTAAAGTTTATAAAATCATGAAAAATAAAAGATGTGCAATTTGATGAGTTTCTGCAACAGCATGTTACAAAATTTACACTCCAGACTCCAAATAATAAATTAAAGATGTCATTAAATCAACAAATAGCAAGAAAATGCAAATCAAGTAATAAGTTCACACACCCATCTCATCTATCAGTTCCATGATAGTCTTATCAATAAACTTCTTGTGTTCTGTCAAATCACACCCATAGTCCTTCTCTAGCTGTTTCCTGAAATAGTAAAATAGTGAAATGGTGAAATAGTGAAATAGTGAAATAGTGAAATAGTGAAATAGTGAAATAGTGGGAGGTGTTGCAAAAGAACAAGGGAGGATTGAATTTGAACAGCCGCTTGATATTTTATGGGTACTGATGAATATCACAAAAAATCAAACAATGCACGGTGCAGCACGTGCAAATATGGAGATTAAATTTAAAAGGCTATTGTCAACATTTCAGATAGTACTTACCTAACTTGCTTTGCTGAAAGGTTGTCTAAATCTGCAGTTTTAAGGATTTCTTTTACAGAAGACACCAATTCTTTTTGGGATGGCATTTTTAAAACAATTGCCTACATATGCATTGTGTTAGTAAATCAAGCCAGGGCTGATTGAAACTCCTAGATTTAACATTAAACTGTGGTTATGAAGGTAAACACAAAAATGATACGAAAATTACATAAATACCCACTTCAGATATTTACAAAAAAGTATAGAACCATTTCCTGAAGATTGGTTAAAGGGTGTGATCATTGTTATTGGGAAGAAAGGAGACACTTCAGTCTGCGGGAACAACAGAGGGATCACCTTAAGGTCTACAGCATCTAAGCTTTTTCAGATGATTCTTCTTAAGCGGTTACATGCTGGTATGGAGTGTCTTCTCAGGGAGAATCAGTGCGGATTTAGACAGAACCGCTCATGTATTGATCAGATTTATTCTCTCCGAACTATTATTCATAACTGTCTTGAGTTTAACATTCCTCTTTACATTAATTTTGTCGATTTCAAGGCAGCGTTCGATTCTATCAGAAGGGACTTTATTTAGTGCAGTATGAGACACTATGGGCTGCCTGAAAAATATGTCAGAATATTTCAGTCATTTTTTGGGGGTACCATGAGTGCCGTGAGGGTTAATGGGGAGCTGACAGACTGGTTTGATGTTAACTCAGGCACAGGTCAGGGTGACATTCAAGCACCTCCTGTCTTTAATTTCTGCCTAAACTTTTCTGCATTTCTGGCTGAGACCAACAAGATCATCAGTCAAGGCGCAGTGCTGCAGAAAGAGACGAAGACGGTCGAGGAAAAGGTCATTTTGGACACCGATTATGCTGATGACATGGCTATTATGGACAACTCAGGGGAAGGCCTACAGGAGTCAACTGATCTATTAGTTCATTACAGCTCCTACGCTGGGCTCAGAATAAATGCAAAGAAGACCCAATGCATGGCTGTAAGCAAGTGCGCCTCCCAGCGACCTTTCATCAAGGATGATTGTATTGAGCTGTCGGTTGAGGGTGAACCCGTCGAGCAGGTTAGCAACTTTGTCTACCTGGGTGCAACTATCAGTGGGGATGGGACAATCAACAGAGACCTGGATGTCCGTATCCAGAAGGCTAATGGCGCCTTTCATCAGCTCTGGAACATTTGGAATAGCAGAACTATAAAGACTCCAACCAAGATCAGGATCTATAGGGCTGCTGTCCTCACCATCTTGTTGTATGGAGCTGAAGTCTGGAACACCACCAAAAAGCAGATGAAACGCTTCGAGGTTTTCCATCAAACCTCCTTGAGAAGGATCCTTAGGATTAAATGGTTCTTTCATGTGACCAACGAAGAAGTTCTTAGGAGGGCTGGCATCAAGTCAGTCGAGACTTTCATCAGTGCTGCCAGGCTACGTTGGTATGGACATGTAGTTAGAATGCCAGACTCTAGACTACCGAGGTTTCTGTTGAACTGGAAGCCAAATTATGGAAAGAGGTCAAGGGGCAGACCCCGTAAGAACTGGAAGTCCTGCGTACTCGAAGATGCTGCTAAGTTTACAGGTGTTGAAAACATCGACAACAACACGACAGAAGCTTTGGCTACCAACCGAGTACAGTGGAGACATATGTTACGCCGCCAACGCGATGTGTGTGATGCAGGCCACTCCAACGACTAGGAGGAGACCTTACCATGTAACATGTATGTATAGAACCATTTTAGAATGAAAATGACATAAGGTCAGCCAAGGTAAACGGATAAAGTAAGAGAGGTATACAGTTCTATACTATATCCTGATCCTGTTTAAATCTGGAGTAGAATTAGTATAAATTGAGCAAGCTACAATTAGACTGGTATAAATCCATTGAAGTGGCAATGTTAACGGATTTCAAAGAGCTGGAAGTCTTAGAAGACTACAGATTTATTAACTGAATGAAGCAGTGGAAAAATCAAATGAGAATTACTGACATCCTGCAAAATATCACACCCCTAGATTCTTTCTCACCCATGTGAATTATATCGGTGTCAGTATTTCAGAAAAAATTTAAAACCCCCACTCCCTATCGGATCCTGAAAGTAATGAACCCATACATGTCTTTAAGAGTCTTTAGTTTTGCTACATCACATTAGTAGACATGTAAGTTACAATCAACCAGGATTCCTACAGAGCAGGATAGGATCCCACTCTATTAAAAATCCTGCATCTGATAAAAATCCCTGTCAAGGCAATATTTCCAGTTCGGGCAAAATTCCTGCCACATCCAATCTCTGACAACTATTGCTCAAATCTCTGTGAAGCATTAAGCAAGTGTGTCCGATATCCAGCTAATAGGTTTGAACATTCTGGTGTTTTTTCAACCCCATTGATTTGAATTTCTGTTCAAACGAAAGAAGATTAATGAGGAAGATACGTCTTGAGTGATCATTCCATAGGATCACTCTTTACCAAAATGTACCTCTTCTCCAAATTCAGTGAAAAAATATATATATTTCAGTGAAATGAAGCAAAGTTGCTGAATAAATCAGAATATATTACGTTAGTGAAGAATAAAAGGAACTAAGACGACTCTAATATTAGGAAATCAAAATATTCTAAACAATAAAAAAAATAAAAATAAATAAATACGTAAAATAAAATAAAATAAAAAAAAAGGGGGGACCCCCAACCCATGTAGCTGAGACACCTCACAGCAAGTAGACCAAAGTGGCTCTTGCTTGTGAAGGGTGAATCAACTACCCGCCGAGGCGGTGGGTTGGGAGTCCCCCCTGGGATCATTTCGTCCGTAAAATTTTACACATTATAAAAGCTACAATAAATTATCTATAAAATTTACATAAACAAACTTAAGAGAGCTCAAAGCTCGTCTTCTGAGGAATGAGATTGAAGGATATGTCATCCAGTCCAAGGTGCTGGGCTTTTTGTCTTCCTCTGATTCCCCTGAGTGCTATGAGTGTGCTTCGTAGCAGATCAAACCTGAATCGTGTTCTGATGTGATTTTTGACCTGGCTCTTAGCTTCTTTATTGTGGTCAGCTATCCTTTCAGAAATACGATCTACAAACACAGTGCAGAGTGGGCCCATACCTCCGGATGTTGTAAAGACTAGTGGGACAAAGGACCCTTTCTCTGACTGAAGTACTCTCTCCTCATAGAGATCTTTCTTCTCTTTCTCATGCGCACTGTAGATTTTATCTAGTGGCTTAAATGTATTGGAGTCGCAATTAGGATGAGTGACCCTGATGTCAAAGAATGTTCTTTCGAATGGTGCATACAGTCCAACAGCTGCTATGTCCAGACGGGCTTCATCCTGGGTGTTGGTCTTCCTGGAGAATGAAGTTGGTTGGACAGGTAGGAGTGCAGGTTCTATCCTTACATCCTTACACTTTGCTTCTTGAAGGAAGAAAGCTACAGTGTCTCTAATGGCATTGTGGCGCATGCAAACGTATCCACCTAATTTACAATCAAGGGAGTGGTAGACACTGTTTGCATGTCCGCAAGCACATTTAGAGGGCACTCCTTGGATCTTCCATCCATAGCGTAGGCGTATGCTGTCTTGGAACTCTTGCTTGTTTAGAACATAGTTGAGGTCCTTTAGAGGTAATACTGAAAGCCATGTTGATGCTCCCTTCTCTCTTGCTTGGTTTAAGTGGTTCTTAAGAAGATGATCTGACCCATTATAAAGCATCTTGAACCTTTGTGGTAGAAACTCATCCTTCTGTTTTCTCAGTTCTTCTTTCTTTTCTTTCATCTTGCCCATATCCAGCTTGGTGATATCCTGGTCTTGTTGGTTGATTAAACTCACAAGATCTTTAGTGAGTGCCACTGAGAATGCATATTCACGAGATGATATCCTGACGGGATTGATGATACCTAGGCCTCCACATCGAACAGGGAGTTCAAGGATATCTCTTTCATGCTGGTTGACAGGGCGACCGAGGAGGGCTGGAATGAGCACATACATGATCTTGCTCTCTAGTGGGACAAAGTGCTCTCCAATGTCTGGTATAGTACGCATGTAGTATCTCCATCTGTGGCATATTCCTTTAGTAAAGGCCGAATAAGCCAACTTTGTGGTTCTTCCGTCGCTACATCTGCTAGTTGATCAATATCAACTATCCATTTTTCGACTTTTTCTCTGATGTACTCTTCCCTGAATTCTTTTGAGCCTACAACAGCACCAAGATGGCGTTCTCCGGATGTCGTGATCTTAACTCCCATGTGTTTAAATAGGGTTTCTGCTTCTATTAGCTCTTTGGGGTTTTTGACAATCAGAATTGTCTTTTTTGCGTTGGGGCGGTACCCATATCTTGGGCCTATTTCACAGAGTCTATTCCACCAATGGAGCAGTTGGATGAAGCTTCCACATGCAGAGCTGTCATCAGCATACCACACCATAGTTGCTTCTGCATATGCTTTGAGATCATCTATTATAGGTCTGGTGGCTATGGAATAAAATTGCATTGCTGCAACATCTCCTTGTGTGTTGCCTTCTTCACCCCAGATGAACTCCCCTGACTTTGAGCCGGAGATGAAGAGCTTTCTCTTTGCTTGGCAGAGGCGGCTATTGAGGGCGTCCAGGCGTCCATGGACGCCTTAAAATTATTATCTGGTGGCTGGTGCTTAAAATAGAAATAGTAATTAGTAATAGTGTTAGGAAATAACAAATCGCAATATAAAGGTCTTCATTTACTATCATACGTTTTAATGTAAGCGCACGCGTGATCTTCGTGAAATTTTGTGTTGTAGGGAGTCCAATCCTACCTCTGGACTACTCAGCCGCGCAGTTTTAACACATAGTTAATTGTAAACGTTACAAAGCACATCGTGTGCATCCCACTATAGGTAATCTATTATGATTTGCCTCGATTTGGGGGTCCAGGACCCTTTGCAATTTGACTGCTATATGATACTGCGCGGCTGAGATTGTACACGTGTGGACTGGTGTCCTGTTTCACCCATGTTATAAGTTTTTGTGTTTGTTTGCTGTCGCCTGTAAAGTGTTACACATTACATTTACAAGGCCCTGTGTGTAATGTAATCGGTAGTTTGGAGGGATCAGCTTGAGCCGGCTCCCAAGCCCCCCTCCCCCCCCCCCCCCCCCCAGTCCATCGATTGGACCCCCAACAAAACTGCCAGCCAGCTCCCACGAGCCGCCTCTGTTGCTTGGTAGGTATTTTTAAGGAACTGGTGAAACACAGGGCAGGTTGTTGCAACAGTATCAAGAGCCAGCTCTCGGTGTAAACTGTTAAACGCATTTAATGCATCAACTAGGAGAAGGCCTTGGCTGTTTTTGTTGGCAAAGTTCTCGGCCATTGAATGAACTGCGGCTTCTATACCTGACTCAATGCCACTGCAGGTTTGTAGGGATCCACTTGCCTCCTTAATGTGTTCTTTGATAGTTCTTGTTACTGTTTTTGTCATAATCCTTCGCAAGACTTCACCAATGCCGATAGGTCTGACTCCTGGTCGCTTGTCCAAGGGGATCAGTCTGCTTGCAAGAAGATCACTGAGCATGGTTGGTGCAATGGTTTCAGTGCATAATCTTTTAGTAACATCGGCTATGGCTTGAGCTAAGGTATCATTGCATTTTCCATAGCTCTTTGAGCATAGAATGTGTTTCCAACCGTCAGCATCAATGAGAGTGGGGCCTCCTGATCCATGGGTGTTCTTGGCAGCAGCTTTGATGGCTTCGCCGTCAATTTCTTCAAACAGTACAGGTTCTATATCAATTGTTGGATGTTTCTCTGGCCCATCACGCTTCGTTGCAGGAGGGTGTTTTTCTCGCAGCTGTTTGATTGTGTCATCATTAATAGGAAGAATGCCTGTTCTCTTCTCATTGTCTATTAGTCGTGTGGCTTCTTTTACTTTACCCTGGAGCATTCTCCGGCAGAACGCCTTCTTTTCATTGAAATCTTTAGTAACATTTATCTTCTGAAGGCGGCTCTGTATCATTCTACATTCTGACAACAGTCCTTCTATGTCTAAACAATAAATGGAGCTTAAAATCGTAAACTTTAATTCAATAAACTTTTCGGCACACTCCAATGTTTGAGGATTATCTAAATCATGGTGGACTCATACAATAATGGAGTATTTGTTGACTAGATTCATCTATTAAAATCATGGGCACACACCAGCCTCGAACTGAAAATCAGCAAACAAATGGAGTCCGACTAAACAGTTATAATAATAATTAATGTTATTTTTTATACACCACCAAAAGGTTACATAATTTTAATTTAACCCTTATGCTCAGCTGTAAATAATACTTAATTAACGAGAGCGTCCATCTTTGCCTTGGACGGAGGTGAAACAAGAAACTGTTAAGAAAACAGAAGTTTTAAATATTATCATTTATCAATACTTCCAACACTTGTCACTATTATGTAAAGAATTATTCGCTAATAAGTTAAATGTTAAATTCGCAGACCGAGGACTAATCCAAAAGTAAACAGCAAAATCCGTCGCTTGATACTGACAGACTAGCAATCATTAGCAATCTGCAATCATTACAGAATATTTCGATGAGACGAATAATTAGCCATGGTCCGGTTTAGGTAGCGCTCGACTTTGCCATGACTTTGCGACTCACTGCAAACAAAAAGCAATCGCGCGGCGCCAAAATGTGATTTATATTAGAAGTTTTCATCGCTCAAAATCAAAAAACATTTAAAAATATTTTGATAGCAGTTTTAATCATTTATACCACTTTTTAAATTATCGGTTTTTAGATTTACAAAATATTAAAATACATTTAACTATTTATTAAAAGTTAACATGTTTATGTAATTTTTTTAAAGTTTGTTTTTTTATTTGTATTTTGTAAACCTATTTACTTCGCAAAAATGTACGTCAAGTTTTAATTCATTTTCAATTTTAATTTGAACTCAGGATTTTTGAATTACAAGAGAAAATCCAATAATTTTTATTACGTTATAAATTTAACAATTCCAGATTAGACCACAGATTCCATATCGCAGACTCGCTATCGCGCCGCGCGCTTCGTTAACAATTGTCTCATTCACTATTTTCAGCGCTATATATTTTCGGCACTGGATAAAACTGCAAGTATTTTGCAGGTCGAGCGTGGCCTATTCTACAAACTCATGTTGCCGTAAGTTGATTGTGTTGCCATTTGCCTGCTCAGTTTAGTCTACCCACCGAAAATAAAACAGAATACTTGTAAAAATTAGATTGTTTTTGTTGGGTTGATGAGACGGGATTAGAGAACTTGGTTTGGCCCTGTTTAGCTAGTGCTTCTTAATTTGTGGAATTTGTTGGCTCTATGGACCATTATGGAAGTGGGTTGGTTGCTACCCTTCAGACGAGAAACCTGAGTCTGAACAATCTGAACAGTGTCTACGATATACATTCTCCCACCGAGTCCAACCCACAGTCACTTTACTTCAACCAGTCATCCCCTGATGTCATGCAGGTTTGCTCTTACGACTTTTTCTTCAAATTTTAGTAAATATGAATAATCTCAGAGATTGTCGATTTAACTAATTGAACAAGAAACTCCCTCATAAATTCCATCATTTCTTAAATATTCAGTCAAATTTACTTATACTTGTTAATGAGCCTATACCACTTTGGCATTTTAAAAACAAAACAGTTTGTCGATGACAGCAACTTGTTGATCCCAAAATCATGATCCCACCAATATACACTATATTGAATATATTAAATATTCAATATTAAATCCAGTGAACGGTCGCTATATTACTGTCTAGTACGGCACTTCTTCCTCTCAACAATAATAATAATAATACAGAGAATGTTACGAACTGTTAAAACAATTTTCAAAAATCTCTAAAATATTCAGTCAACATGAATTGTTTTCGGAAGCTCGTTCTACACATGATACAGTACATCACACGCATAGCAGATATTTCGTGTGGATTTTCCATTTTCAACTGAGAACAGTCGAGAGTCAGAGCGTCTGGTTGACTGTCAACAAACACTCTTAACAACACTTACAAGATCGTGTTTGACACCCGTTTGACAGTCATTTTGTACCGTTAAAGGCACTACTGCATGGAATTCCGCTCTATATTCACGGGCCAGGCCTCATATCAGTGCTAATTTCCATTATTTACCCTGACAATTGTTTCAACATACTCCGTGACTCCGCGTACCAAGATGTCCTAACTATCTCACATTAGTAAGTTTTATATTTTTTCTAGGGTAAAATAGTAACAATTTCTCAGCTAGTGTTGACTGATTCATAATTGCCGTCCAAGCATTCCGCACGAAAAAAAATCGTTTTATCCCACTACGATAGGCGATATAAGTCGTTATCAAGTAATCAGTAGGTTGCGTAATTAAATACTTTCTCGGAGAAGAAGAGAAAAATCCGGCCCAACTATCCAACATACAATAAAGTTCCCACAGAAAATATCCCTTTTTGGCTGACAGAAAGGAAAGCAACATGTGAACACATTCACCCTCCCATTGCATGAAACATGGACTGGATATATTTAAATTGAAGCATGGTATTGATGGTTAAAGTGTTAAGTGTAGACATACTTTAGTATATTCTCACATATTATGTCCACTGCACACATGCAGTCTAAATCAACACCTGCCCTAATTGCCAATCGCCGGATGTACATCTAGTGTTTTTTGTCATATAAAGTATATTTTTTAGAACATTTTTTTCTTCTTTTCTGAGAATTTTAAATGTTACGTCGCCGTAAGTAAAAGTTAAATTTGAGAGTAAGAAACGAAATATTCCCAAAATAAGTACAGCCAGGATATTTGCGTCACTCATGAAGGCTGTGCCAGATTTCCAAGTATAATAAATCACGAGGTCTGACTGTTAAAATTCATGATTTAATGTTCCAACATGAACTTTGTTGAGCTGCACGACTTAACGACTATTATCACTGAAGCTCTACTAGATAACAACTCACCCCAGACCGAATCACTTTTCACGCCTGCAAAGCAGGGAACTGAAACATTTAACATACTAAATCGATAAGTGGACCAGCAATAATATTCATCTGATAAATTCACAAAATAATACAAATTTATTTATTTTTATACGTCATCTCCTCGTTTTACTCTAGACCCCCTCCTCCCCCAATCTCATTTACATGAGGTAATTTTCTATCAACATTCTTGCTACCCCCCGTTTATTGGGAGCCATGGAACTAATAGCCCCATTAGGAAACATCGAACAAAGCCTGGAAATGTTAATGGTTGATTACGCAAGTGAAGTTTTATGCCCCAAGAACTAATAATCTGAACTCGTTTTCGTCTTAAATAAGAAGCACTAGAGTGCAATTGGAACAGACTTATTCTATTATTAGTCTATGGTAATATCGAACAACAATCCTTGACATCTATACATTTTGAATAATATGCAGTCTGCACGGTATATCGAAACTCTTGGTAAATCGATTTATATTGGTTAACACGTTACGCCAGTTATTGGGGAGAAATCGAGCACAGTTTTAATTAAAAACAGGATAATTAAAGAATATTTTTAAATAGAGGGCCTGGTTCATAATCCTGAATTTAATTCGGTAATAATCCGTAATAATATCCATGTTGAAGTAGATAAAGTGTATAACTATAGAAGATTCAGTATATAATAGTAGATATAGTAGATGCCATAATAAGCCCCGTGGTGGGTGTGCAAGGGCGTGGCCCGTAGTACCCGGATCTTCAGGGCTATTAATAGTAACACACTTGACCTCATTAATATTCCTTGTTAACCGGGCACTAATTGGGAAGTTACCATTAACATTCTGTGGGAAGTGTGGACAATGCGTTGTTCTGACCGTGCATCGGGGAGCCCTGGTGTGTTAGGTACTCAGAAGGGGATGACATGATGATAGCTCGTTGAAGACAGAGAGAGAGAGAGCTCGTTGAAAAGTCTCAGGAAAACTTTAGAGGAATTCTCATCTCGGTGACCTTATGTCTCTCAACAATTGATGAGAACGAGTAGAAGAGGGAGGAGGGCATTAGACCGACATCTCGGCACGTATTGGTGTCTTTGACAAAGGTTTTACCCCTGTCAAAGGGCAACTCTTTGTTAACTGTCAAAGACCAATGGTTGCGTGAATGTCGGGTCAATACCCGGCTGTCCGATATGTCTTTCTTTCCTGAACCATTTATTGACAGACGTTAGGTCCGCATCGATAACAATTACACAACATACTTAACTCATCTTCAATGGTTCAATCAGCAAAAGGAAGGGTTATCTTGATGAAAATGCGGGCTAACGTGTGAGCTTTCTTATTAAGCGTTTGACGAGAACTTTCTGATAAATTTCTAGCAAAATTAACATACATGACATAACTAAATCTAACCGAACTTAATCCTCTAAACAAATAAATTATAACCCACTTTAGTTCTCTAAACTAACCATGTTTTAACTAATAATAATATAATTCCAGCAAAATTCTCTAAACTAAGTACGTATTAACTGTGTTTTAATACTTTCAACACTACCATATTATAGCAAATAATTTGAGAACATAAATATAATAGAAGTTCCCCTTGGTCGCATGTACAGAATTATCAGAAGTTTTGAACTCTAAACATATGTGTTAACTAATATAATTCCAATATAAGTCCCCTAAACTAATCTTGTTTTAACTAATTCCAACCAAGTTAACTAATACAGCTCCCTAAACTAAGTATATATATATATTAACTAACCGTCTCTACTCCAGGGTTTATCACACAGTTCCATCTCCCCTCCACACGGTCTGTCCTACTCTCCTGCTGGACTGTCCTGTGCTCTCCAGAACCCGTCTCCTCCTTCCTCCCTCAGTCTCAACCATCTCATGGTGAGTCCTTATCGTTGCTAAGATACTGCATCTTGATTGGTTCGTTGCTATGATAGTGTACCTTGAGTGGTTTGTTACTGTCACGTGATTAGAGTAGTGGGTTGTTGTTCCAGTCATTGATCTGTGATTATATATGATAGGAACATCCACGTCCCTGGACTAAAAGCACAAATCATGTTCAAACCAAAAAAACAGAATATCCACATGCTATGTTTTAATTAAAACTGTTCTTAAACTAATTCCACGTTACCTTCCTATTCTTTAAAACTCATTCAAAAGGAATCCCAACCAAATGAATTCCACTCTCTCTCGCCAGTACGTACCTTACAAAGAGCGTCTAATACCGTGTATTTCCTACTTCTGACCCGTACTTAGTTGTGTGCTGCTTTAAAATGCCTTTGTGTAGTGTAAATAGACGTTTAATGTCCGCCATTATAACATTATATTGTATAATGTTATGTTTTATATACACAATTTAACTTGAGTTATAATATGTGTGCTGGATCATCCTCTGACTTCTTTCTTCCTGGGATTTTAATGTTGGACAGCTGGAGAGAGTTACGAAATGTTTGTGACATGACTTCGGCGGTGTTGTCAATCTTAATGTTAATGATCGACGATTAAAAGAGAGAAAAGTTGTTGAAAAGTTATACGATTTCTTAGGGTTAGAGGTGGTCGGTGGAACTATTGCTCGAGTCTAATCGACGTGTCAGTCCGAGTGTGTGATCCTTGATAACTTAGTCTGTGAATTGGAATTTGACAATTATACTGGAAATTTTGCATTTTTGACATGCTGAATTTCAAAAGCGTCGAAAGATTTTTCCATGTTCTTGACACTTTTGGCACCGCGAATTTTATAAAATATGTCATTAAAGTGTCTATGCGTTTTCGACGTTATGGATATTAAGCATACAAAAAGGAAGTTGTTCGTCATTTTTGAAAATTTAGGAGCTAATATTTGTGTGCTATCGGTGACACGCACCGTAGATTGCTTACATAATATGTAGTTGTACAAGGAAAAAACATATAATTTACCGCTGAATAAATTACGACTTATATCGGCTAAGCCATATGGTTAAGTTTGCTATGAAAAACATATTTAATCATGTACTTACTTACTTCATCTCATATGATTATGAAAGGAATAATGCGATATCAGAAACACTACTATCTAAAGAAAGTTAGAACAAGGTTACTTGTGCAAATGACGACAGGTTCTATAGATTTAGATTCTGATGGGGAAGTGAAACATATTTTTGCTGACACGTGACAGTAATTAGTCAATCAGCTTCTAGCATTGATCAATTAAATCTCAGAAGAATTGAGTTCAAAAGAACTCAATTAAAAACTCATATAAAAAAACTAATTCTTGATCGAAAATTACGTCAATTAATTTAATTTTCATTAGCTTTGGAATAAACTGATTTCAAATTTCACAACTAAAAACAATATATTCTGATTTCGTTTTTCCTGCCAATACATCATGTTTCGTTTAACAGGTATCTGGGATCAAGCTATTTAACGTTTTAAACATGTGTGATTATACATCTCAAACAAACCATACTGCTCCCCTTAAAATACTATTGTAGACAAAGCTCTGTCTTAGATACGAGATTTTTGGCTTCATAAATTCAGTAATACCGTCTGAAAAGCTCCGTAAGAAATATTGTTGATTTTCTACAGCTCCTGGTCCGGCCACAGATGCGCTCCCACTAGACTCTTTGATCTTTCTTTACAGCTGGAACCTGGTTCAAAAGTTATTAATAGTTGTAGACTTGTTTACGGTATATAAGTTAAACCTGCCCAAGCTAGAGAGCCATGGCAGGGCCAGCAAGCAAGGCCCGGACCAAAACACACTGAACCGACTGAGTATGGTGTTCAACCACTTAGATAAAGACAAGATTTTAGTCAGTTACAATATAAAGCCATTTAACGAAATCATCAATTTTTATTAGCAAAACTCAAACCGAAACTGGACAATTTCATAGGGAAAATTTATAAGTTCCTACTTCCTATACTTTCGTTACTTGTATTAGCTAATACCAAAACACCAAACAGACGTTTATAGTATATCTGAAAAAACATTATAGTTTTGAAGTTATGTTCAAGGAGATGATCACAATTTAATAGTTTAATCTGTGCAAAACTTTCGTTTGATCATTAAAGAAAAATATATTTGAAATTAAATTTAAGATTTAAATTACCTTATTCTTTGACGACAAACCAACATCAACCAGACATTGCAACAAATATTTATGTCTAGTTTACAAGTACTTACTTGTTGCACAAGTCACGCCGTATTCTGCAGATTTTAAACTTTTAGCTGGTATTTCTTCCTCCTTATCTAAAACAGGGAATACTACATTCCACAGGGAACGCATTCCACAGAATAGTTTTATATTTTACAGGCCCTATTTAGCTGTTTGGGTGTTCGGAGGCTGTGCAGCAAGATTTGTTGGGGGAGGTCCTTGGAGCTCAACACGGATATGTTGTCATGGCAATACAATTAAATTACCCACGTGACACTGAGAGCTTCCCATTGGTCCATTTGTTGTCACGTGACTCTTATCTTCCTCCACATTGGCCCATTTCCCGAGCTATATTTAACTTGTTGTGACACGTGCGCGCGTCTCACTGCACGAATTGGTCCCCTGCAGTGGTACCGACTGATCAGTGGTTACCTTCATCACGTGACACGCACGTGGGTGATCGTGTGACCTAATAGAAATGGTGAGGAGGAAATACAGTACTTGGTAGTGCGGAGAGGAGGGAACGTAGTAAAGTATCAACAATCAAAATATAATGTACCTTGGCTGCAGGCAGGTGGGTTCCAATTACGTAATAGTCAGGATATATAGCTCAGCCAGCGTAGGGTAGGGACTATATACAGATTACAGGTCCCGGGCTGGTTAATTAGGGACCACATACAGGCAAGTTGGGGTCTTATACAGGCCCGGCCCCGGGCGGTTAGACTAGTAGGACTGGGTAGGGACGGTGCACTTTCCTCGGTCTTGTAGGGTAGGTCTAGGGATGATCTAGTTCTCAATATTCCCCTCATTAGAAGTTTTATTAACAGAACAGGCTAGTTTCTGGCTAGACAACTTCGCAACAAAACTGGTAGTTACCTTTAAGTGAGTATACATTGTTTGGTTTAATTTCTAATTTCGGACAGTTACAAATTTTACGTGATATCAAATCCCATTAAACATAAACATTTTCCTTAGAAAACTTACAGGGTGGATCAGAAGTAACTGCCCACATGCAACCCTTTAATATAAATAACTCACGTCAGAATTGGACAACAATTTCAGAGAATATAGATATGGGCCAAACTTAGGTATCCTGAAAGTGTCGTAAAATTTCATTGATCAGAGAGGGTGTGGCACATACACATTTGGTCTGATAATTGAAGTGCTTTCCTAAAAGTTGGTTGCTTCCAATTTAGCCGAGTTATGACCATTTTAAGATCTTGCGGTTACGTGATCCAGGCACTTAATCAGTGATCTCTTCAAAGTTCAATCAATAAAATTCAATGGCCTGATTGGTTGGGGATTGCTTATAGTTTGACCCATCTCTATTATTTTGAACACAAGATCAAATGTTGAGTCTAAAAATTGTTCACGATTCCATCAAATAAACCTCCCAAGTATCCCTCGAATAAGAACATGAACAATTCCACGAACCGTCTTTTTTATTTCGTTCCATTTGACCGTTTTAAGTATTTTAGAATCGTCTGACCTTTCTAACGGGATATTTAAAACAAAACCAGTGGAGATATAATCATGCACGAATAAAACACCTACTTATTTATCGTGAATTTCGTAGAAAAATTGTAAACATAAAACTCGGTTGTCTACAGTTTAGTTCATTGCAAACCGAAAATTTAAGAAAATGGGGATTGGAAGAATATGAGTATAAACTATAAGATCTTCGAATAAAACCAGACAACTTAATAATAATGTTCGTTTATCATCAAAGTTTTCTGAGCACCGCGAGATATCAGACAGTTTACCAGTTACTGTTACAATGCACCCAGTTAACGGTATTGCTCCTACCGGTTTTATAAGTACAATTTTTCCTTTTATATTCAAGGACCTATTTATATTGGTATCATATTTATCCCGGTAAATGTTGGTTCTGGTGCAACCGAGCGCCGTTTTAGATTCTAGCTGTTATAACCTGAAGCAGATATTGAGGATTTTTACCAATAATACTGTGAAGTGTGAAACCACAAGCACTTTCGTCAAACATTGCTATGCTGCTGAGTTTGATGGATGGGAAGGTTTTAATACTAGCTAGGTTTTCAAAACGTTACCAAACGAGATCAGCCCACAAATTAAATTTCCCAACTTCAAATAGATACCAAGTTTCTCTTTCTAAATCAGCCTGATCACCTCAGTACAAACTTAAATTACCCACATATTTTCAGACACCACGCCTCACTATCACCAAGCACAGTACAGTCTCCCCACAAAAACGTTAGATACATCATGTCATACAATTTTTCCAAAAAATAATTTATAATTCTCATAACATTGCTGTGTATTTCTGACTTTTCCAGTGTCCAACTTTATTTTCGCGTCAAATCTTGCTTACCTATTGGTATGCAGCTAGATAAAAGTTGACAAGTATAAATAAATTTTGCTCATCGTGAGAGAGCTGTTGGAAAAGATTTTCCATGTTTTTCGTATTATATAAAGCTCGGAGAAAACATATTAAAGACAAGTATATTGTTGTGATTATAATTGTAGTTACGTAATCTCCATTATGATGAAGTAAGGGGAGGATGGTGTGAGACTAGATGGCGTATGTCAATGTTTTATGAAAAGTCAGGAGGTGTGGCCATGTCGAGTGCTTCAGTATCGGTTGATGATTTCAGTGATTAGACACGTGTTAATTGGTTAATCACGTGTGAATTTTTTGTTTCATAGAGACACATTAACAACACGTTCAAATGTGATCCGGTTGATTTTGGAGTATGGAAATTTTAATCGCAGTTG